AACATCTGTTTTTTTTTTTTCCCCCCTTTTTTTTTCTTATGTAACGACCACATTTTTATTTGGTAAAAAGTAATATTCTTCTGACTGTTTGAGTTGTATTCAAATTAACCATTGGTCATTCAGTCTCATGCATTTAGATCATGATAACCACAGATAAAACCAGGTATAGCCTATAACTTAGCTCCTCACTATTATGGCATAACTTTATGGTTTCTGTATTTTTTGAATGAAAAACAATAGCCTAACAGCTAAATAAATACATTATTAAATACTGTACTTATATTCCATTAGTCATAATACATTGTCAACATTAATAATATTATACAATTCAATATGTATCCCACATTTCATGGTGCAGTTAATATTAGGCCTACCAGGCTAAACTTACAGTAAATCCATGGTAGGCTAAATGGATTCAGAATCAATTCAGATTCTGACTGTATCATTGCAGTTTCTCCTTTTTGTCAGCGGTGTTTCATCTGCCTTTAAACTGGTTTAAACTTGACATTTGTGTTCTTCGCTGAACTCAAGTGCTTCTCACTGGATCTCGTGAGCAAAACGATCAGAGGCGCGTCTGCGTGAGCTCGCGCTGCACTCAGCGCGCTGCCATTTGGACTTTGAGCCGAGCGCATAAATGCTCCGTGTGGCGCGCGCGGTTTAAATGAGTTTCGTTTCGCTTTTTTGACGCATAAACATTATCGAACATTTATCGACCTCTTGATATCGTTTTATCGAGGAAAATTATATCGCGATAATTATCGTTATCGTTTTATCGCCCAGCCCTATTTCAGATGATAGCAAATATCCTGAAATTTCTCCTCCTCCCTAGAAGACAACATCAGTAAGAAGAAGCAACACATCTTACCCCACTGTACCCTATATGTAAACACAACCAAACAAGTTGTCTGGGAGGCAACTTTATCACGGTAGTGTCGGGAAGGCCCCATTAGTTACAGAGCAGCTACACATGGCACACACATCCTATTGAATTAACGGCTTTTAATTACATAAGCTTGAAGGAAGACATTCAGGTCTGCGTGAAAGACTAATATCTGACTAGGATATGAAAACCACCCCGAAGACACAACGCAGACTCAAGAGGACCCGATTGCGGGAATGTTGCTGAGCGACAGCTCACAACCACGTTCAACATCGGCCCCTGTGCATTAGAAGGTCAAGGAGAAGCAGAGGCTCCGAATGAGGGTAACTGTCTGAGACGCTGGGGAAAACAGCAGGGTAGACTGGCACAAGGGGGAGGGGGAAATCAAGAAGGGGTGTGAGCCAGCTTGTCATTTATCAGTATTTTTATCACAACATGACTATTTCAAGAGGAGGGAGGTAGCAGCCAGTACACAAATAGACGGCAGCTGAACATCCCCCCTGTCCGTGAAATGCTACATCGCTTCAGACTTAGAGATACTGAGATGCCCATGTCAAGCTCAAACTACAGGTGATCAACAGCACATGACTGAAAACATTTTAGCTTATAGTCAAATGAGAATTTTTTTGTGGCAGGAGACAAACTACTGAGGCAGGGCTCTACAATAAGGACTGCCCAATGGCCTGGGATACCGTGAAAGAGACTGGGGCTGGGGCCATTTGATGGAACGGTTACTTGCCCGATTGAGCCAGTGCCGCATCGTCACGGAAGTAGATAAATTGCACCTTTTTAAGCATTGCCACAGAAGGGAACGTAGTTGCGTCTCTCAGTTTAGTACACTACAAGAATGCAATTTTGACAATTTCGTGTGTTTATGTCCATCCAAGCTCAGGGAGATGAAAGAGTATTCGTGGGAGAGAGGCGGTGCCCAGAACGTCATGTCTCACATTGCGCAAATAACTGTAATAAGGATTAATAAAGACTATGCATGTGATATTTTACATTTGATTACTATTTCTGTACCTGAAAATCTAGTTTAGGCCTACATAAAAGGCTTAGTTTAGTTAGGCTAGTAGTTTTTGGTGTCATATCCTTAAATGGGCATTTCCAGACATTTTTTTAAATTACATTTATCTCACCTAAATGTTTGCTCACTTGTGTTTTTACTTTTGTTGCTCAAGAGTTTACACAAGCTTGATTTCAATCTTGGAATTAAATTGAGCACAAATAAATAATAGAATAAATGTCCAGATGAAAATGAGAGAAATAAAGAGAAATGTTTTTTTGGTAGGTCTAACACTATTCAGAAATTAAACACTAAACAGAAACTGAGTAATCAAATGTAAAATAACACTGGATAGTCTTTTAGACCTGTATAAATTAAATACTATTATTAATCCTGATTATAACAAATAAAGCAATCTTTATCAAAAAAGTTTGTTGACGATGCAACATTGGTTGAATTGTGCAAGTGAGAATTCAGCAAACCGTTGAAACTCCCGAAACGAGAGTCTGGTATCGCCACGTGCAGCACGCTTGCCTTGTGCAACCCATTTTGAGAGAGAGAGAGAGAAGACGCAGCACCCCTGAATCACTTAAGCGCTTTTGTTAAATTGCGTCTTGCATTAAGTTTTAAAATGACTGATTTGATCTTATAATCTGTGGATTCATTGACTCATACAACCTAAATGATAAAGGGAATGTGTTTGCGGGAAATTTCCCGCATCATAAGAGCAGGCCTGCGGGAATGATTCAAATTATGCGCAATGCCCGTAACCCGTGCCGAATTTCGAGCCTTGATTATTTATTAATTACCTTTTTCTGTTGGAATCCATGAAAATGTTGGAAGGGCAAGTAAAAATTTGAACCACTGGCCTGACTGGGGCAGTAGAAAAAAATCCTTAGTGTTGGGCATCGTGAAGGATGATATAGTTTTGTGGGAAATATTACACAAAATTGATTTTCTCCCATGACCTTCCTGACCAATACGTATCTGGTTAGGTAAGGATCAAAAAATACATTGTGCATGAAGATTAACTAAACATTCAAAATAAAAACACACATCCAATGACACTCCCAAAACCATACCCGACTGGAAATGCCAGTCCAGACTGACGGCTCACAAATCTTAGCCCAGATAAACAGAGCCACAACTCCAAGCATTGCTTAAGAAGTAAATAAAATAAGTCTTTATCTGACCTAAAATAAAAAGAATTTACATGGAGAGCAGCCTGAGATGATTAAAATCATTACACTATGCAAGCCAAACAGATTATACACGATTCCCCCAAACCACAAGAAAGGTTCTTGAGGGAAAAGTGCAGACCAACCTTTTCAGGCTGCAAATCACAGGACGATTGGGGATGAATTAGCAAGTCCAACATTTCATCTCCACTAAAAACAAACCTTACAATCAAACTGACTTCAACTCTACTACTACTTTGTGAAGGCCTATAATTTGCGAGCTTCAGGGACCAGCAATCAATATGCGGGGTATTTAAATCGCTTTTGAATGCACACTCACTTTTTACTTACTTTAAAATTTGTGATCATCTGTGAATAGGTAGAGGGATACTACGGACCACACATTTTAAGATAAGATATTTGTCAATTATGTTGCAGGATGTTGCACACCAAACGCTCCGCCACCGTCTTGTCAGTCATCTCTCCTTACACTCATCAAGTGATAAGTGAAATCTGACTCCTGCTGCGACTCTCCAGCTCAGGCTGTATATGGAGCTGAGCATCTGTTTTCCAACTGAACTAAATTATTTTTATTTCTATGAAAAAAAGAAAAACAACAGGATGGGAGGTCCCACAGTGGGCAAATAATGGAATCGGTCACGGTGTATGGCCGAACAAAGAGTAACACCAGTAACGGTGACTACCGCGGCAAGACTAGTACCTACAGCCATGAAAAATAAATAAGCTGGAAAACTCATGTACAATTGGTTTACATTTAAACACATCATTTTAAAACCTACTGACCCATCTCCACCCACAAATATATTTATAAAGTAGTTATAACTCCAACCTACAACTACTACTATAATATCCCACTGTTGTTGTCATACATAAAGTACACACGGTCATCCACATATGCAAAATATACTATATAGCAAATCTCACCGGCTTGATTGTTTATATCATCACAAAATGTAATACATTACTGCACAGTTCTATAACTAAAGTTAGACATATGCATACATCCAACTTCATACACATTCATAGAGTATACTTTGTGTAAAGGGTGTTAATCATGGAAAAACATTCCAAACAACCAATCAGATTTGACGGACAACTTTACAGCTTATGTCAAGAGTAGGCTTAAACCAAAGTTTAGATGCTTCTACATCAGTGGTATTCCCCCATCATTTCCCTCTGATTTTATGGGTAGGACTACATTTTTTGTTGCAGGATCAACTATGTTGATTCAGGTTCAAATTGACAAACTTCAGTGACCTGTGTACAGCAAAATAAACTATATAGCAAATCTCAACTGTTTGATTGTTTATATTGTCGCAAAATGTATACTACTGTAGTGTATATTATCAGAATTTTCCTTAAAAATCTGCATTGAAACAATGTGTATTCAGCAAAGCACCACACAAATAAATTTGACTTCAAGTAAAAAGCAGAACAAGGCAAATACACATCTAGGCTATATGAAATTTACATTGAATTCCCAACCACTAAACTTGCAATGGTACAGAAAGTAAACTGGTGATATAGACTAGCCTATATCTTCTCAAACAAACACTAACAAAAGAAATCATGACAACATCAAAATAATATCTAGAATGAACTCTACGTTTAAAAAGAGCCTCTTCTATTTGTGTGGTTTCATGTCTGTACAACAATTTAAACCCCCATTTTATTATTAGGCCTACGTCGTTTTTCAGTAAAAAATAAGCAGCTTTTTCCCCAGTGCTGATAGATAAACTAGAGATTGAGAATCGTAAGCTCCTGTATTTTATTCTAGTTAACCAGGCAAAGATCTGAAATTACAATATAGTAATGAAACAGAACCAAGCTTGTTATGCAAACTGTAGGGGTAAAACTTAACTAATAAATGGGTCAATAATCTTCCATTTATTGAAAACAGATGGGTTAGACTCACCTGGCCAGTGGAGTGGTCAATCATGGGTAACAGTGGTGTCCTCGTCGACATATTCTGAGGTTGAATTTGACCGTTTATCTTCTGAAACTGAACGTGTTCACAGCTCTCACAATTCAATCAAATGTGGCATCGGCACAGCTCGATGAGAAGTGTCCAAAGTCCAACTTGTAAGAGATCCTGAGCTCGGTGTGAGACCCCCAAATCAGCACAGATTAGTAAAAAGTTCCTGTCATTAAGTCATAGTTTGTATAATTTTGACAGGAAGACGAATTTTACCGCAAACTTTCGACAAACCCTATCGGCGGATGTCAGCATTGAATGTCAACTTCCTATGTGATTTTCTGAAATTAAACTAGCGAGTTTTTGTGGGAATTACAGCATTAAAACATAGTCAGATTAACTTGAACCCGTCAGCTAATGAAATACAACAATATTGTTCCCAGCACTCATGTGGAAAATCGAGTCCGAGGACTCACAAGTTTTATTAGGCCGGGTGGCAAAAGGGTCCTTAATGTATCCCTAACTACTATAAATATTCGGCTGTATACTATTGTGCATCTGTAATGTCAAACCTTAAGTCCTGTTTTCCTCTTTACAAGCATGAGGAAAGACACATGGAAGTCCCACTTAGAACACACAAAAACTTTAGGGCAAGTTATTGAGCTGCTCCTTCCAGTTAGCCAACTCAGCAGCGCTCAGACCAGCGTTACTCCGAGCAATGATCCGTCATACAGGTGTCAACACGTCCATTTCAAAACCAAATCAATGTGATATACTAGCGATCCAAGTACAAAAACATCGCGGAGCTGCTCCTATACTGGCTCTCTGCGCCTCTGAAAATCACATCTAACCTGCTAACGCGCGTTAGCTGGCCGAGTGACTTCGAAAAAGTCGCTGATATTTTGACAGTATGATTGGAAGAATATGTCCTAACCGTGGCCCGGTTGTGAATGGGTGTAAATTATCTCGGTTCCAGTCCGTGGTACGCGACGAATTACATCTGTGAGCCGTGAAAAGCTGAGCAGTCGGGCGGTCACGACTGGTACCGCAGCAGCGCCCGGACGCCAGTGTTGTTTGCGTTCAAGAGAAATGTGAAACCAGCCTGTGGGTCGACTTCCTTTGCCTTACTCACACCGATCTTTAAAATAAAAGTCTTTTCTTCATAGCTAGTTTTACAATACATTTTGTAGTTTTAAAATGTATTATATTGTATAATATGTATATTCGACAACAAATAAAAACGTTTTTGTATCATTATAACGTTAATTAGGACACATTCCTAAATAAGAAACAGAACAAACTGAATTGAACCTTGTGTGTGTGTGGTCCTATCAAACCCTACATTGTTGGGTCAAAATATATCATTTTGGTTCCCATGAGGAAAACAGTTAATAAATTAAACAAGTGATGTATTATTTAAATGTAAAAATACAGAATTTTCTGTCAGGCTTGTGTTTAGGGCTAGGGTTAGGTGATAGAATATACAGGCTGCACAGCATACAAATCATAAATAATTTTGTATCAATGTCCCCATTAAACATGAAAAACCAACATTGTTAGAAATGATACAGTGGCAAGCGTGCGGCCGAGAGCTTCGGGAACGGAGCTAGAGAAGCACCAGCAGGATAAAAGGAGGAGTGGTGACAGAGTAGGATAAGAGAGGACCAGGCCTAGAATTCTCAAATGAAGACTCAAGATCAGATTCAGTGCCCATAAGTGGTTTTATTCTACATAGGAAGGGTTCCTTCATGGTGTCTGCCATGTTATCAATGAATGTATCATAACAAATACACCTGTTAATAAACTATTTCTCCTGTGTCATCCAGTGTTTGCATTTGTAATCATGCAGCAGTATAACTGCCAGTATACATTTAAAATACATATGAGGCAGTGAAATGTAAACATAAAAATGAGTGCACCTTTAAAGTCAGCATGATTTGAAAATAAATAGGTTTTCTATTCAACTATTGTGAAGCATATCCCATTGAAACAGCTTCTCGAACAATAAAAAAATGTAGGACAAGACTTGATTTTGTCCATCATTGTTTGGATTGTTGTTGTTTGCTATTGCTTCTAATGTGGAAGACAGGTTGTTCCACCCTAGCGTCAGTAAACACGTCAACAGAGAAGAGATTTTGCTACTATTTTGTTGCTTAGCTCTGTCACACAACAGGGACCCCGTTGTAACTAGGCTATAGGTAAAATTATAAATAAATAAATAAATAAATAATGGTGAGAATAATACAAGGGCCCCCATGCCCTCATTTCAATGTCAAATTTATTTCTAGAGCACAGTTCCAGTATGGGATTGAATGTGAGATTGAATAAATGAACTCAGTAATGTCCACAATGGTTTCGGACACCCAAATGGATGTTCCCTCAAATATTAGCCTAAAGTCTCTATAGAGTCTCATATATGAAAGGTTTTTTTTCTGGCTTTTAGTATGAATATGTTAGCCTTACCGTTATCTATATTATTATCTATGACTGACTACTTTCTACTCAAGGACCTTGACAGAAATGTAAAGTAAAAATTGTGATAATTGTCTTTCAAATGTAGAGAAGGTAAAGTAAAATGTTTCAGAAAAAAGTACAGATACTTTTTACAGAAAAAACAGTACTCAATTAAACGTACTTTGTTACTGTCCATCTGCGTCAGTTTCTGATCATGGCCTTTCGTTGGAAAGTGATTGAAGGAATGAACACTTTGCTGCCATCTCTAGGCGTTTGGGGGGGATAAAAAAGGTGTAAAGCAAAAGAATGCACTTTTTCAGTTTTTGAAAGGAATTGTTGCGATTACGATCATGGTCCCGTGATTATGGTCCCGTTTAGAGGGTCCCTTCCCCACAATGTGAATTTGGCTTTAAAATAGGCATGTACTTTTATGACAATAAAAAAAGTAGCCGGGGGCCCTTGGGGAGGTGGGGTACCCCCCCGCCCCCCAAAAGAAAAGCATGTTTTGCTGCAGCTACGTTATTTGGCCAGCAATTTGTCACAATTTGTTTGTCATTGGTCTAGGATGATGTCATCTACACAGAAACCCCGCCCCCCACATAGCGCGCTGTCTCATGCACTCGCACAGAAGCGCACATTGCATTGCGCTGGCGTACACATTGTTATTGTGTTAATTGTCTACACTGATGAAGTCAAACGTGTTGAACAGTATGAGGATAAACTGGCTGAATGTCATATACCGATGGACATCACTGGATTTTTAAAGTCTAACCCGTACATTAATACAGACCACCGCAGCTATGTAAATGCCTCGCGGCACTGGAGCGGTATTGTCGCGCAGAGAAACACAAGGATCTAATTTATCCGAAATAATGACGATACAGCGGATGTACAGATTATAACGTAAGTCATTTCTCTTCCTCGTTTAATTTTTGCGGCCTTCATATGTGTTGTCTGTTTCATGATAGCTTTAAATAGCTACTTAATATTTTATTTTCAACAAAATGTCGCCTAGTGAGTAAGTGCGAGCATTATTGCAGCTATTGTTTATATTAAAAATTCATTGTAATAAAAATAGTGCACGTTTTGTTGTAGTTTAAAGGAACGCACAAATAAATCTACCCAAAACGCTCGATTTGTGATGCAAATAGCCTACATGAAATATAATTAGCATAATTTATCTTAGCACTCATATTGAAATGGTAGTGAAACTGAGCTTAAATGGTAGGCTACTACTGGGCTACAGTAAAAGCGCATCCGAATTGCGTGCCTGTATCAGCATGGCCTAACAAGTGACAGTCAATAGCCTAATAATACAGTTGCAAATATGTAGCGGAATCTCGTTTTCTCTTTCATTGTTTATGCCTAGATAACATTGTGTTGGTAATCAATCTTCTTTTGTGAAACAACTATGTAATCGTTAGTGCATTAATCGCAATTATGCTTGGCCAGTTATAGAACCATTAGAAACAAAGCCTCCTGATAAGACACTGTGATCTCGTTTTCCAGGGAGAGTAACTGGAAATCCAAGAGCTGTGAACGTAATGCCTTTTGACGATGCGCGAAATCATTCCACTGGATTTCACATTCTTATCCTGTTAACCTTTTACCATAATTTTTATAATGGCTTAAAACAATGCACTCATTTCATAAGGGAAAGAGTTGAGCAAGCCCATCCATCTGATCTGTCGCAGACTGTTGACTTGAATGTAAAACATGCCTGAAAATGATCCACGTTAATGTGCGCCTGCGCGTAAATGTCGATGCTAAATACATTAATGACGTGAACAGGCCTATTTGGACTGAGTAGCCTGCTTATGGCGTTTCGAAATGACGAAGAAGCTCATGAATCATGATTAGCCTAGGTTATGCACAAATAATATAAAATGTCACCGTTTTGACAATAATCTTATTTGACAAAACTTCATTAGGCTACACATTGATTTGGAGAGTGAATATTCTATTTGACCAATTTAAGTGACAAATTTAGTTTATTAACATAACTCCTTCACTGACACTTTCTTGTCACACTATTTTGTAGGTCATGATAAATCTAGCAGATGAAAATTGAATATAACTTGTTGATCGAGTGTAACATTTCTGCTTAGACTATTAGGAGCTCTGTGATTTAATTCGCCTTAACATAGCTTTTTTTTAAAAAAATCCATTATCTGTTTGTCATCATCATATCATATCATAAAACTGAAACTTCTTCTTTCTATATAAAGCCACTATTTTTATAAAGTGGTGCACTCAGAATCAGCAATGGCCATGATGAGCTTTATTGTTTTTCTTTCTTGCTGTATGTCAGATATGCATGTTTTGTTTTCATGGTTGAGTTGAGTTATCATTTTGCCCAAACATTACTGTATTTATACAACCACACACTGTTCTTTGTGGTGATATCAGTGAAACCTGATCATTGTTTGTAGCTGCGTTAGTGAGCTCATCAATGCTGATCCTGTACATCTCTGAAAGAAGCACATGCTGATGCCAAGCATGTGTTGCTGTATGCGATTCATTGCAAAAAACAAAAAAAAAACATTACACGTGGTTTGTGTGTGAAATTCTGCTGATAAGATGTTTAGTAGTGAGTTCAAGTGATTGGAGTGATGTTGACTTGCAATATGACAAATCTGGGTCAATGTAACCACCCACCCCCCTTCACCACCACAGGCTACAAAAGGCAAGACTGAAAAAAGCAAAGAGGATGAGGATACCATCACCAGGCTCTGTGCGTGAATGTATGCATGTGGAAATAAGAGCATGGTGTGCTGGCTCTGTCCTCGGGTCACTGCGTGTGTGTGTGTGTGTGTGTGGCTGTTGTGTTGGGGTATATGTCTGAAGTGCTGTTGTGCATGCTTCCCTCCTACATGAGGTCAATCCAGCCATGTCACATCCTGTAACTGTCCTCTCTGTGCTGCTTTATATTCCCTTGTACACATACGCACACACACACTTTTTTCGTTCTCTCCTCTGTTTTCATCCTTTAGTACTTTATTCTTTAAGGACTAACAATGAAAATTCAGTTATTTTTTATTCATTCTCTTCTTGTTCCAAACCCATATTACTTTCTTTTTTTTCCATGGAACACAAACATGAAGCATATTTTCCATGTTCTATTGTAATGCAATAACTATGTAGAAAGACTGACGCTTTTTTTGCATCATAAAGAATGCAGAACCATTATACATTTTTTTAAAGGGTTAGTTCTTCCAAAAATTAAAATTCTGTCATCATTTACTCACCCCCGTGTCATTCCAAACAAGGCTTTCGTTCATCTTCGAAACAGAAATGAAGACATTTTTTGATTAAATCTGAGAGCTTTCCCAGATAGCAAACTGACATTGAATCAACGTGGAAATATGACATTGAAACAACGTTGATCTGACATTGTTTTGCTCATCGAATTAACGTTGAACCAACGTCAGACGCGTCATTCTTTCAAAACTAACGGAAAATCAACTTGAAATCAACGCGTTGTTTCAACGTTATGAAAGCAAACCAATTTTCGATTTCATTTAGCTTTGAAGAATGCCGCGTCTGACGTTGGTTCAACGTTAATTCGATGAGCAAATCAACGTTGTTTCAATGTCATGAGAGACGTTGTTTCCACGTTGATTCAATGTCAGTTTGCTGTCTGGGTTTTGACTCTTGACACTTCAAAAAGTTCAGTAAGACGTTGTAAAACTAATCTAAATGAATTGAGAGGTTTAGTCCGAATTTTATGAAGAGACTTGATTGGTTTATATGATATAAGGAATTTAGGCATTAATATTTACATATATAAACACTGATCAGCGAACATAATCAGAAGCTCAACCAAACATACCAGCAGCCATATCACCCTGTAGCCCAAGACTGGTTGCCCACTGAAGTTAAAGCAGGGCTGAGCCTGGTTAGTATCTGGATGGGAGACCTCCTGAGAAAACCAGGTTGCTGCTGGAAGTAATGTTAGTGAGGCCAGCGGGGGGTACTAACCCTGTGGTCTGTGTGGGTCCTGACGCCCCAATATAGTGATGGGGACACTATACTGTCAAAGAGCACCGTCCTTCGGATGAGACGTTAAACCGAGGTCCTGACTCTCTGTGTTCATTAAAAATCCCAGGATGTTCTTCGAAAAAGAGTAGGGGTGTTACCCTTACTTGAGCTTCTCTACCACTATGCTTGAGCTTCTGTTTGCATTAACTGATGCATGCGTTGATGAATGTTATATGAATAAAAGCTTAATTTAAATGAATCTGTTCATCATATAATTCATATGGATTCGTTTTATGATCTTTTTTTTGCACTTTTTGAATACATAAAGTTGCTTATAGCTGTCAATGGAGGGACAGAAATATATCTAAATATATAAAATATCTTAATTTGTGTTCCAAAGATGAATGAAAGTCTTATGGTTTTGGAAGGGTACTTAAGGATAAAGATAAACTCTTTAATATAAACTTGTACATTCCATGTCAAAGTCAAACAAAAAAATGAAGTAATTATTCAGTCTTCATTTATTGATATTTCTTGAGCAAAACACATTTTCTTATTTTGTGCACCACTGAAGAAAGTATGGTTTATGGGTTTGGAGGGTGAGTAAATGATGACTAATGTTCATTAATAGCTCATCTATTCATTTAACCTTCTCATTGTCTTTCCATTGAGATTCCATAATGTCTAATACTAATGTTTCAAACTGTCATTATTTAGAATAATGAGCTGGTCTACTCTTCTCTGTGGAGGGGTGATTGCAGCCATCAGATTATATCTCTATTTTATTATATCAGACAAATTCTATATTATTCCATTAGCATTCCATTACAAATTATAACAATATTCCATTCACGTTCCATTACATGTTTTACTATAATGGATGTCTTCCTCTTTAAATGCCTTTGTAATCTTTAGCAAAACAATGACCTCTCTTTAACAGTCAAGTAGACAAAGTCGATATTGTTGCAAGAAAATAATGATAACCAAGAATGTCAAATAATGTAAATATTTCCCAGTTGTGAAATCATTCCAAAGCTACCCAATTTATAAAATTCTTTACATGGTTTGCTTATTTGATTGTGATGATTATTTTATGCCTTCTATAGATGTGAACCCCTAGCATTTATGTTAACAAAAGTAATGGGTCAGAAAGATTTTTCTGTTACATTAGGATTTGTCTTACTGACAAGTCTGTGATATACCCTGTGTGCTGTTCTTTATTGTTTCACAGTAAGAAAGGTTGTGAATGACTAACAGAAGACTGTCTTCTGTGCTTACCTCATCACAATTGTCGATGTAATTCTGTGTGCTGTGACTAATATTAACTGTATGCACAGTACTCACATAATGTATGTCGTCTATGTACACATTTAAAATGTATTATCCATTTATAATTACACAAAGTGAATGAGCATTGATTCATTTGCCTTTTTTCTCTCTGCTTCCTAACCACGCAGCTTTGCTCAGCCCCAGATGCCTCCGCTCCCTCTTGACGAGCGTATAGTGGTTATTCAGCGCCCCAAAAGTTTGGCATTGCGCGTGGCCTCCCCACCAGCCACATCACAGTCTTCCTCCCACCGCCCAGCCAATCGCAACGAGCCCCCACCCCGCTTACCACAACCCCAACTCCAACCACCCCGTTCCTATCCAAGTTCCAACTACTTGTCTCTGGAATGCAATCGCAGGCAATCGTCCCATGTTCAGAGAGATAAAGGAGAACGAGGGGCTCCCTTTGAGGGCGGCGGCCACAATGCTAGCCATTGTCACAGCAATGGGATTGTAACTTTAGGTCCCAGACCTCACAAGCACACTCATACCATTGATATTAAAGTGTCTTTAGACCAAGGTGGAAGAGGAGGATCTTACATAGACAAAGGCCGAAGTGGGAACATCAAGGGGAACAGGACTAAACGGGTGTCCCTGCACTTGGATTCAGGGCAAGGTGAAAGGAAATGCAAAGGAAAGTCTTCCGAGTCAGTGGAGAAGCACCAGAACCATCATCAGAGTCAAAACAGGACTCAGCCCAGTATCCATCATCCAAACCAACTTACAGTCTCTCCTGGAGGGATCTTGGAATTTGTACCTGCCCAAAAACAGCAGTCAAAATCCAAGCCAACCAGAGAGAGAGATTTGTCATCAAAGTCTTGTTCTGCAACTGCCAACTACTCATTGCACAGTGAGAGGGACGTGTCTTCTTTAGGAAACAAAGAAAACTCCAAACTGGGACCCGGCCACCAACTGCCCCAAGCCCACAGCCTATCCCGTCACCACAGTTCAGCCCCATTACCCCATGCTGCCATCCTAAGCCCTCACTACCCTGCTGTTCCACCCTCACTCCCTTCCCGAGCCCCTTCCTCCTACCAGCACATTAACCAACCCCATCCCTCTCGCACTAGAGAACATCGTCCCCAAATTCTTCACGCTTTGCCTCTCTCTCCTACTTCCTCCCGAGGAGGCTTCCCCAGTCCTGACCACACATGTACTATTGACTTTTCCCACCCTTGTGGCTGTTGGAGGTTGGTGCGCTGTAGAAGAGGTAGAGGTAACTCTGCTGGCTACCACGGTCGTGGTACAAGCTCATCCTCTTCGTTTTCCCACACCCAAGGAACAAGTGCTGCCAACGGAGGTGGCGAAACCATGGGATTGAAGACTTTAGGAGGGTGTCTGTCAACTGCTTCCACCACCAACACCTCCTCTTCAAACAGCACTGTCTCTGACTGTCGAACAGGGCTGCTCAGACCTTTAGGTTGTGCATCCTGTTCTGGAGAAGCTGGAGGTTTTGAGAGCCCTGCGGCTTTCCGTAAGAAGCTAGTTGGTGGTTGCTTACCCTGTACTCCCCTGTCCTCATCCGCACCTCTTCGAGCACTCCAGAGTTGTGTCAGTGGGTGCAATCCCAAAGCAAGCCAAACTGGCAGCTCCACATGCAGCTACTGCAGTAGTGACCCTATTGTAGTGACCTTTAACCCACACAGAGGGAATCCTCCCAACATGGGCCGTAACATTGGAGCACACACCATGGGAGGATACCAGCCTGATGATGACGATTACAGTGTACGCACAATCTGGCCTGAGGAGTTAGCAAAGAAGATGACTCGCTCTAAAACTCAACCTATCCACCATAATGCAGGGATTGGCATGGGCTCAGGAAGGACTTGCATGGGCCAAAACCAAAATAGTGGCAATAGCGGAAATCCTGTAATCCTTGACTGCCGGAACCTTATGGAGTTCACTCGCTCCCAGTTGACAGATCAGGCAGGGCGACGTAGGCTCCAGCAAGGCAAGATGGCGGTTTTGGACTTTATTGGATCAGGGAATAGTGGGGACCAGGGGAGAGATTCCCTCAAGAGGCTATGGAACAAAGGAGCTGATGCTTGCATGGGGGATGGCAACGGGTTTGATGACGAAGTGCTTCCACAATCCCCATCCCTACGATCTCCTTCTCCAAATTCCCCCCCATCCTTCTCTCCCCCACCCTCTGCTCCTAGCACACTTATTAAGCCCAAACCCAAACAGAGAGAGAGGGAAGGTGGACACACCTTACCCTCTGCACAGTCGCTCCACTTGGTCCTCAACTCACTCAACAGAGAACAAGATGAGGAAAATGGACGAGGTAAAGATGCTAATCTGCAAGTACACAGCAGGTTGAGTGACATCTTTTATAATGTGTTGTTGATGATTGACCACTCAGAGAGATGAGCACAATCTCTTAACCTTGATAATCGCACTTGAATGTACTGACCTTGATTTTCTCATCTTCCATTAGGCTGTACGACTTTGTGCACTGATAGTATTCAAATTAAAATGATAGTTCAGTTAATCTGTGGGGTGCATAATCCTCCTTAGTTCAGCTTCAAAAGATCGCCAGAGTGACAGACCCCATGATCGTTTTGTAATGGACCACAAGTTCAATCGAAATGTTTTACTGATTAAACCCTTTCTAACTTTAAATCTTTTTCATACATTTCAGAAGGTTTTACCCTCGCTTTTATGTCTTATTGAAAGTCGAAAATTAGGTTTTGTGAGAGAACTAAAGGATAATAGACATTCTATCGGGGGGCAGAGTGATGAGACTTCAAACAGGAAAGATAAGGAGGATGGATTTCTTCTTATATAAGGGTTTGAGGACATTATACTCTGTGCCATATTTAAAATCATTTTCCAGCATACCAGCACACCTCTCTAAGATGATCACATAGAGTAAATTATTAAACAATATAAGAAAACAAATGTAAGTAACAGTTTTGTTTTATTTTGTTTTTGCCAGTGCACCTTTCCCTCCCTCTTTCCTCCTCCCTCCCAGCGTCACTGTCTGAGGAGAGTGTGATGACCCCAGATGTGGAGAATGCTGTGATCAGCCCAATCCTCCCTTTCCTTTTTCTGGGTAATGAGAGAGATGCAGAGGATTTGAATCTACTGCTTCGTCTCAACATTGGTTTCGTAGTCAATGTCACAACCCATCTTCCCCTCTACCACCTGGACACGGGCTTGGTGCGTTATAAACGGCTCCCTGCTACTGACAACAGCAAGCAGAACCTGCGACAGTACTTTGAAGAGGTTTTTGAGTTTATAGGTAAGAGAACTTGTCAACTCTTTTATATTTTAAACATTAACAGACCTCATGGAATTGCTTGTCAAGTGCAGTTTTCTGTCCTATGAATACTTTCTTATTGAAGCTGGAGGTGTGGCCGGGATTGTCCCTTTCATTTTTAAATAGCCTTATTGCGTTTAGCCAAGAACTGCAGGTGGTATTACAGGGGGAGGACATTCTGTCATGCAGGAGAGCATTTGATTGGACCAATCTGTGTAGTGCAGGACGAGTCCTCAATATTTTTGGTTTGTGTTGTTTTCGATGTCTGCCACACCTTTTTTTTTTCTTTTTTTTTTCAGAGGAAGCGCACCAGTGTGGGCGAGGCGTTCTTGTACACTGCCAAGCAGGCGTGTCCCGCTCAGCGACTATTGTCATTGCTTACCTGATGAAGCACACCCTCATGACCATGACAGATGCCTATAAGTATGTGCGGGGTCGGCGACCAATAGTCTCCCCCAACCTCAACTTCATGGGCCAGCTGCTAGAGTTTGAGAGAGACCTCAACTCTGGGGTAACACCTCGCATCCTCACCCCCAAATTGAGTGGCCTGGAAACACAAGTTTAAAAGAGTGGACCAAGAAAGACAAAGAAAACAAGAGGGGAGAAAGAGATAAATAGAAGATGGAATTAATGGAGAGAAATGACTGGATAGAAAATGAGGGAATGATTAAAGCTGAGATGATATAAATAACCAGAAGATAAAAGCAGTTTACAAGAAATAGAGGAACAGATTCTTTGGTCTATTTTAATTGAAGAACCTCCGCTCTTTTAAATATAAATAGCACTTATATTATTTGGCAAATGGATATTTGACCTACCCACCCTGATATTCTGTTAATGATGTGCCAAGTTTTAATTCAAAATAACTGATTATTGTATTACTATTATCAAGTTTGGTTCGATACAAAAGTTATATAAGATTATTTGGGGGGAAACAAATGCAATCAAAGTACTCTATGACTGTCAAGCACAGACAAGTATTCAATGTGTTGAGACTCTCAGAACTGTGACTTGCATCACATTCGAGACCCAAGAACTGTAGCAAACTTCAAACTCCTTTCCCACTGTGCACAGAACTTTTCTAGACAGATTATTTTTGATTTGGGAGCTCATTTGAAAGTGCTTTTTTGGGGTCCTTTTATGTTAGCTGAATGCCAACTATTTATAAATTTCTCCACTGACATGAAGATTCATTTTGCCTTTGATATTTTTTCGATACTGCTATTTTTGTTACTTGATTTTACTTATTGAATCCTTCATCTTAGTGTCTTTGTGTGGGAGGTGTGCAATAGAAACTGATGTTGACGTGGAAGTGGAACTGATTTCATTTATTTTTTGCTCTGACATTGTTTCACTAATGGACATTTTTCATGGGACATGAACCAGCCACTATAATGGCAGATACAATCCAAAAATCATATTTTTTTCTATTTCTTGCTTATGATGTGAGGGCAATTTGTGTGTAATGAGGTAGAAAAAGGAAAAGTACACAATAAGACCATACAATTTTTTTATTCTCTTTTTCATTTAACTGACTAGTTATTTAACTTTGTGCAGGCAGTGAAGCGGCTTAAATTTACCCATTTAATTTGATTTTTGTCCTTTCTATGTCCTATTGCTGTCTTTTTTTTTTTTTGTGCTGCAAATGGTGTTTTGAAATTATGAGGAAAAAGATCATGTTGAATTGAGCGCAAAACCTATTTTATATTTTAAATAAGGGATACACTGTTGATACTGTGCAAAATTACTGTGACTGGATTGGGCCAAGTCATCATAATGAATCTCTCTCTTCAGTATGGTTTGAATTTGCATTTTAGAATTGCACATCATGGTGACAAGCAGATATTTTTTAGTTTATGCAAAGTACCATGACGATAGTGTGCAGATGTAGCTAAAACTGTGCTTTCTGTCATTGGGTATTCAGTTCAAGGCACCCTCATCCTTCAATACCGGCACTATTTTTAAACACCCTGCCTAATTTGACCATGATTAGATTTTAGTGCTCTCAGGACTGTAGGCAAACAATCTGGTTTTGAATTACGTACCACAAAGGAAACCAGAGCCCCTTCCTCCATTTGAATTTTTCCTTCATTTTCCTACCTTCATTTTTTCCTAGAGACTATGCATTGGTATTGGAATACATTCTGTGAAAAAGACTTGGTTCACTCAGTTCACTGTGAAACACATTCTTCTTCCTGCATGCTGTCAAGTTCTCAGCCTTGGTCCCTGTAGCCTATTCTCGTCAGTCTTGACAAGCGAGGAGTTTGTCTGCCATCTCGGAGCTCTTATCTGCCTCACTGAGCCATTGGGCCTTCACACACCACTGCTGTGTCTCCATTAATTTACTCTGCCAAGCAGTGCATGACAAAGTATACTGTTTTGCATTTCAGTTCAAATATGCTCCAGTTCAAACCCCCCTAGGTGTCTTCTTATAGGAACAGGAACACAGAAATGCCCCCCAAACCTGTCTGATCCATCTAAATCACGAGTGCACACTGTATGATTTATAATAGTACTTTCTTACTGTTGCTTGTCAGAGTGTACGAATATGATTCCTGCTGTAAGCCGCGTCACACAGTAGGATCTCTGCTGTCGTTAATGTCAAACTGCGCGGCAGTTCAAGACGTGTTAAAACGGATGCACACAAAAAGACTCGTCCAGAGTTTTACATCATCAATCCGTTACATGTTTAGTGACATGAGCTGCATTTACATGTGGGATTGAAATGGCGACTAGCAAACAATCTCTAGTGTTAGAATTGATCATCATAGCTTTTCTTAAAGAAAACACCGGAAGAAACGTGTGTGGAGCAAGTGGTGGTTGTTTCTTGTCTCACTTATTGGGTCATGAGGTTCTGCGCTCCTGTTTTTTTATTTGATGGTTTTCATAGGAGAAGCCACACTGCTTGACTGCACCTCAAAACTTCTGACTCTGCCTGAATTTTGTAAGATTTGATCGCAAATGCTGTCAGCGGACATTTGAAACTAGCTATCAGAGGAATATTTATGGATACACAAAATTTTAAATCATGCAGTTTATTATGGCTGTTATGAACAACCAATTCAGTCCCATTGCTTTCAGCTGCTGCTTGTATTTGTCATACCATGACACGCTGACTGTTTTATTCTGTCTCTTTCTGCTGACAGTGTTTTTGTCTGACACTGTAGCTTGATTATGCCCAGAGGAAACGATTAGGTAAGCAACACCTAGTAAACAGGTGTCAGTGAGTTGACAGAGTGCTGATAAATCAGACAAATTCTAGTCTACAAGGGCAGGATTTGGCCAAATTTTTAATTGAAGAATTGGTATGCCTTTAATTTGGTTTGAATTGACCACATGACACAGCATATTGAATTGAAATGACATGGAGGAATTCAACACAGAAATTTACAGTTTACAGTACATGCTCTGGCGAAATTAACTAGTGACTATTTTCATTGCTAAACAGATCCTTTTAGATCTTCTTCCATTATTTCTTGTAACATGTAGTTTACCATTTCAAAAAACTGCCAGATCCCCATACCCCATCCCCGCATGAGTAAATGTATAAAATGTATTATAAGCGAAAAAGTAATGCCAGGGTTGCCTTTTGGTACAATAACCGTCTTCCGAGTCAATGTAGCACCTATCAACGGAAAGAAAATGAAGCACTTGGAAGTCTTGTAAATGTTTTGTTTTGCTCTGTGTTATATCTGTTTGCGCAAGTGTGTGGACACGAGATGTGAATCTGTGTGTGTTTGCTGTGTGCTAAACTTGTTGAGACACGAGAGTAATGTGAGTTCAACCTTCCATCGACCATTTCTATCAAGAATCCCAACCTCAGGCCTGTTAAATGTCCATTGGCACAACTCGAGCTTCGCTGTTAGCTTGCATTTGTCAATGCCATGAGCCACTGCTGTATGCCTTCTTTAACCTAGATTTGCTCTTCCAGACATTGAGGGAAATTTCACCTCTTTGTACATTCAATCATACCTTTCACTGTAGAAACAAATACCAGAATCACCTGGCAACACTGAATGAATCATAGACATCACAGATTGGGTGAATTGCTTTTGGCTGTCCACATCTTGAGAATCTCAGTGTAAGAAACCTGAATTTGTTCATAAAAAGTGTGCAAAGCGTTGAAACTGGATACTATATATGACCAGTGTTTCCTGTGTTGAATAATCTTATATACAATATATGGTTTGCACATAGAAATTAACTAAATGTAAAGTTTTGTGTAAAATTAGTTTGTAAATTTGTGAATTGATTCTTTCTGTGACTTTATTCATGTATGTAATGCTTGTTCTTTTTTTTTTTAATTGTTATTATTATCTCATTTGTGTGCCAAATATTGAAATGAAGGTTGGCATCTTTAATATTGACAAAAAGAAGTGCCCTCTAGGACAAAACATGTTTGAACTGCTCAGTTATCAGTGTCTTACCTTGTTCCCCGGCGATATGATGTTGTCATACTCTGTTACTGTAACTTTACACTTTACCTGCAGATTTTCTTACCTAAACTGCTAAATTGCTCATTGAAGATGTTATATTTTCACATTTTTGTTTGATCATGGCAATTTTATCAGTGACTCTTTGGATAGAGATTTAGAGAGCTCCCTCAAGGGTTGAACTTTGATGTACTTTGAATGCATGTTGCTCCAAACTGACCTTCTAGTCTTCTCTCCCCTTCCTACTGACTCAGCCGTTCTCCCCTGTGAGAATTCAGTGCCCACGCTGCTTCAGAGAGAAGACGGACATGGCAGCCTGTGTTGGTTTGACCATATACTTGTGTGTACTTCAGTTTTTATCACTGATAAATGATGGGGCTTCATCCTTTTTCCTGTTTAAAAATTTACTGTGAGAGACTGTGATACTGTTGTGAAGCAAAAACGATTAAAAGTGTTAGACTGATCCTTGCCGGTAATGACTATGAGAATAACGTACCTCTAAAAAAGAAAAGATCGGCTTGTTACAGAATTATTCATCGATATGATGTTCTTGCAAAGCTGAAATGATTTGTCGAAATAAATTTTTTTACAACAAATTGGCAATGCTGCAGTGTTTCTTTTTTTACATTGCTTGTGACACGAAATAAATGTGGTATCTTGTTGCAGTAGTCAAACACTCCCATAACCCCACCCTAACCAGGACCAGTTCATTCAGAACCAGGGATGTTGGTTTGGAAATTATTGGTTGTTACAGTATAGTCAATGAGCTTTCAGATTACCATTGACAAATCAGCAGTGTAGCCCACCAGTTACATAATTATTAGCTGTTGTGTTGTGCGACTGCGCTGTGATTTGCCACCCCAAGGGCTTGGATCAATAGTCAGCATGCTCTAATACAGGACACCTATCATATCAAAGTGAAACCTAGGTGCTGCCCTCCCCGGGAGAGACCTCTCTGGACTCGGTTTGCATTGGCTTTTCGGCGGCGTCCTTTTCACAATCAAATTTACTCCTCCTATAGGATCCCTCCTGTGACTTGCAGGCCGCTTCAGCATTAACGTCAAGATGATAGAAGAACAAAGCTGAAATGTCTGAGAGATGAGGAAAGAAACTAGGACAAAGGCTTTTAGAGTGAATCGTGTGCACATGTGAGAGGCCAGCATAAGAATGCTCAAGGCAACGCTGCTGATCCGTGTCCCCAAAATCTCCATGTAATATTGGTGAAACTTTTAATGACTCAATTGTGTAGCCTGGTCTTGAGGGCATGAATGTAGAGTAATAAAATAAGTGCATTTGATTTTACTTCAAGTTCTCTATAATAATTAGAGACAAAAACTGTACAACAACTAGCTCCAGTTGAATTGGATTGGCTGCCGTTGTTGTTCCAAGAGTGTTTATATAGGCCAGACACATACTTAACACAAGTTAGCAAGCATTTGTGAGTGCTTGACCAGTGCACATACTTGCGCTTGGTTATGAATTGTGTGCCCGGCAAATTTCGGAATTCAATAGTGACGCAAGAATTAAAGAAAGCTAAACCTGCCAAGTGCTTGCTGGCCATACAATCCAAAAGACAGACTGCAAGTCTGTTCATACAGAATGTCGTGGAGACTTTTCTGTGAATCTTTAGCCTACATAGTTAATTCAGTATAGGTGAATAAGTCATTGATTCAATGATTTGTTCAAAAACATTTGTTCCTTCAGAAAATAAAGTGATTGTGACTGAATTCAGAATAGCTCTCAATATTTCTCCCATATCATTGGCTCAGATAGAGTATGCTATTTTGAATTCACCCAGTCTTTGAGTGAGTCAGTGAATCCTTCAAATCACTGATTGATTCAGGAACAAACACCACTAATGTGTGTTTGCACGGGGATGCAAAATTGTTTAATCTGCTTTGTTCTAAACTAATCGTCTGGAATCGTTTAAAGCCCTTTGAACAGTTTGCAGTTTGTACTGAAAGTGTCTTTTGGACCTTGAACCGTTTGGTTCCCATTGAAGTGCATTATATGGAGAAAAATGCTGGAATATGTTTTCACCAAAAACCTTAATTTCTTTTCAACTGAAGAAAGAAAGACATGGACATCTTGGATGACATGGGGGTGAGTAAATTATCAGCAAAAGATTTTTTTAAAAGTGAACTACTACTTTAATCATTATTACGTATACCTTTGTGTACCTCCGATAAGGAAGAATTCAGTCTTTGTGATTCAAGGCACGTTTCATCTCTCTGGAGTCATAAAACATGTTGGCCAGGAACACTGTTTTTTTTTTTCACTGATCAAGCAAAACACATCAGAAGCTCAACATTTCTGCTGAAACTGACATGTAATATCTCAGTCCAGGAGCTTTACAAATATCAGAAGGCCGGTGGGTATAAAGCAGGGATCGTGCAAAAAGGCTTTACATGTAACATTGGTGGGTGTGGCTTATCTGCCACCTCAAATCACCTGTGGCATGCAAACGTTCTCATTTAGTATCTGCACCTGTGAAGACATTGAGAGGCAATCCTACTCTATGGTTTAATTTCAACACCCCACCAACAGAACCAGGATATAATGTTTGCACAAGAAAAGGCCAATTTAATATTTACGCATTCCTGACGCCGTACACAACCAGCATGGAAAGACACCGGGGACTTCTGAGGATTTATCAAGAAAGAATGGGAACTGCATGGGGAGAAATTCTAGATAACTGAGAGAAGTTTGCTACAACCATCAGAGCAACTGAACCTCTAATCTGAAGGTATTGTGAATGACTGCTCTACAGTATTACAGAGGATTTTTTTAAAGAAAAATACATCTTTCAGCTATCTCACAATTAAATGTCACTTCAGCTAAAAAGCTGAAAATATATTCTTAAAAATGTGTTTTTATTTAAATAATTTGTTATGTATTAGTTGAGTAAAGTTATTGTACATTTTCTGAGTATGCTACAACTGTACCAAGTGATGTGTCTGAAATATTATGAAATCCCAAAATGTTGTGGGAAATATAGTTTCTCTGTAGAAATATTTTCCTGGTAACAAATAATAGAAAATGCCATCCCAGATTAATATGCTTCAGTTGGCAAAGGGAAGATAAACGAAATAGTGATGTAAGCAAGGCTTTTCCATATGCAGAGTAAATGTTGTGGTCTTAAAGTACATTATGTAAATATCATGGGTGGTAGGATGCTATGGATGTTGCCTGGTCAGGTGCACATAACGAGTCTCACGAGGAAAAACCATGGAGATGGATTTCTTCAGAGACTTCCTCCTAGTGGCAGAAGCTCTAGTATTTTGCTCTAACAAAAACTGCTTGATTTCTCGTCTGTAATTCACTGAAATTTGATGGGGTGTATTAAATATCCATTCACACTACTTCTCATTGTTTTCCATTCTCTTCCAGTCCATGGCACGCTCCAGGTGTAATGGAAAGGTCCTATGTCTGTGTCTCTTGCCTTGTGTGATGGTAAGTCACATGTTGATCTACATCATGGTGTCCATATTTGTAGCCGTATCCTACTCCCCTCCTCAACCGCAGCTGCCCCTCCATTTCATTGCCACCGGTGCCTCTGCAAACTCGGGAGCTTTAGCATCCCATCCAGTTCGGCCCTTCTGGAATCTCAGATTAGAGGACGGGGCACTGTGGAACCGCCTCCAGCACATTTGGGACAGAGAACACAACCCCATATTGAGAGGTAACTGCACAAGGTACAAAGGTCCAAGCCTTGATGCAATGCAACCCCAAGAGATGGAAAAAACTGTTGCTTGTGAACAAAACGAGACATGGGCGTCTCACCTGCCCGATTTTAACACCCTTCCTCAACAAATGAAGGATTTCGTCCTGTCCATGCACTGTAGGCGTTACGATATCCTCGTGGACCAACCCAACCTGTGTTTCAGGCAGGACTCTGAAACGCTGTTCCTCCTGATGGCGATTAAGTCACAAGTTGGAAACTTTGAGAACAGACAGGCCATCCGAGAGACATGGGGAAGGAGCGGCTGGATCCAAGGGGACGGCAGAGGAAGAGGTTGGTTCATTCGCACTGTCTTCTTGCTTGCGAGGCAGGACACAGAGACAGGGCCTCATCCGGACCTGAGTGCCCTATTGGAGTTGGAGAGCAGCACCCATAAGGACATCCTGCAGTGGGATTTCAAAGACACTTTCTTCAACCTCACCCTGAAGGATGTCCTCTTCTGGGACTGGTTTTCACAACACTGTCCACATGTCCACTTTATTTTCAAGGGAGATGATGATGTGTTCGTTAGGACTAAGGCTCTGCTGGACTACTTAGACCATGTTGGAGTACAAAAAACATTTCGAAATAAAATGAAAGGATGGGACGATTTCATTGTAGGGGATGTTATTGCCAATGCCTGGCCCAATCGGCAGCCTCATACTAAATATTACATACCCGAAACCTTCTATAAGGGATCGTATCCTGCGTATGGAGGAGGTGGAGGGGTGGTTTACTCTGGTGCTTTGGCCATGCATCTGCAGCAGGTCTCACGTTGGGTCACCTTGTTTCCCATTGACGATGTTTACTTGGGAATGTGCCTTCACAGGCTCGGCGTATCTCCCACTCATCATTCGGGTTTCCTCACTTTCGACCTTCCAGAGGATCTGCGGGAAAAGCCGTGTGCGTATCATAATGTTCTCCTAGTGCATAAACGCACCCCAAAAGAAATGTTAACTCTGTGGAAAGAGCTGCTGGTTCCTCCACAGGAGTGCTAGTGTAAAGCAGGGCAGCTTGTTCATAAATTCAAATGAAGGTAAATGCAGCGGGGATCCAGACTTTAATGTTTTTTTAGTTATCACTAAGGTATTTTCATGCCAATTGGGTGTGTTAATTTGCATGAAAGGCCCTTGTTTTTCTCTTATGTTGGGCTGTGTGTGCAGTGGTCACTATGAGAATATTAAATTAGTATGGCAAGACAGCTGACAAGCTAAAAATGGGATTGGAAGTCACAATGGTTGACTTCACAAGAGAGGGTTATAATGGCTCTTGTTTTATGGGAAAAAGAATTAATATGATGGACAATTAAGGAGTCTCTTATTATTTTTTTTTTATGAAGATTAGAGGTTTATGGCCCATAATGGAGCAAATCAAAAACAGTCATGAACATATTTCCGCTTTGTATTTAATGTTAAAAAAAAGCTTTACTATTTTACTTGGAATGTTTTTTTTTAGAATGTTTTTTGACAATATTTTTACACTCGGAATCTATTTTTTTTTTGCTCTGTGTCAGGTTTATATAATATGTGTCATTTTCCTGTGTTTTGCAAGAATTGCCAATGTGGAAATGGAGTATCTGGACTCCATTTTGGAGGCTAAACAATCTGGATGCCTGAACACCCTACAGACATCGTCATCTGGTTTAAGCCTTTTGGGCCTAATTATTAGCCTGGTGTTGTTGGAGGCATAGTGAATTACAACAACAAAACATAATAATGGGAAATAATGATTGATAATAATGAACAATGGTTTGCTTGAATGACAATAATGAAATATGATTTGTTCGTTTGGTCGTAGAATTTAAGCCTACTTTAATAATATATTATACTTTAAATGTTTGTACATTGTAATTGAATGGTTAAGAGCATCTCAGAATTTTATTATGTTTGTTTCACTTATTATTTTTATAGTCTCTGTTTTCATTTGTCTTGAATGGCTCACTGTCAATGTATGTTTATTATGTGGAAATTGCCCTCTTCATGTTTGTTTGATCAGAAAGTCACCCTCCTCATCCAAATGTTTGTTAGTAATCATGCCAAAAGAAACTTGTATATTCTTACACAAGTAAAGACAGATATTGAAGTAAAAGATGTTAAACTGTTGTTGTTGTTTTTCACCATAGAAAATAGTTTGTGTGTGTGTCACATAGCTATGTTATATAAACAAACTTTAACTTTAGAATCTATTAATCACAATTAATTGACTTGATAGATAGACAGTCACTCACATAGCCTATAATTTAGAATTTATTAGAATTCACACATGTAACATATATTATATAAACAAACTTTTGACCGCGCTGATCGATAGATATAGGCTATAGACAGACACACACATAATTTAGAATTTATTAGAATTATTTGCATACAAATTATTTCTGTGTTCATCTCTACTTTTTTCAAGAATAATTAATATTTTTGTGTGGAGTGCCTTCTCACCTGAACTTGCTCAATACGGGTGTGACTGTGAGGTACTATTTTCTGTAAAAATGCTTTGATAGAATATTTATTGTGTAAGGTGCTGAACAACAAATCTTTCTCCTCAAGCTCATATATCTACCATTTATACATTTAAAGCATGGCATAGTGTTTTACAAATAGTCTATCTTACATTATTGAAAGGTTTAAATGCCATGTTAATTTAGAATTTTGCGAATTAGATTTACATGTTACAAAAAGTTATGAATATACTTTCACATATTATTCTCAAACCATTTAAATGAGTGTTTACCATCGAATGTATAACGGGTTAAAACTGCATTGTACAGACCAACAGCTTCCATACAAGTAGGTGGCGCTGCAACACCCTCTTAGTCCATTTAACCCGGAAGTTGTCAGAGCAGCACGGCGTTCATCATACGATTGTGTTAATGCGGTAGTGTTAGTCGTTTATTTTTCGGTGTTTACATTTTTCAACAAAAATAAATGCGAAACAATGCGTTAAAACCCCGATAATGGAATATGGACCTGATATTACGATATCTTTGTACTGTTGATATTAGGTAAATAGTTACCTCTTTGCCGTGTTATAAGTTAATCAACTAAAGTGCATTAAAGAGACGCATATATAACGTTAGCACATTTAGTCCGTAAACAGAACTGAAATGGGTTCATCAAAGAAACACAAAGAAAAGGAGAAAGACCGGGATCCCGAGGATCGGCACCGTGAGCACAAGAAACACCGTCACAAGGATCGAGACAAGGACAAGGAGAAGGACCGAGATCGAGAGAAGAGAAAGAGATCCCGATCCAGAGAGAGGAGCAGCCGAGGATCAGAGAGAGACAGAAGCGGTAGAGCAGAGAAGAGCAATGCAGAGCCACGAGTCAAGAAAGAGAGGCTTGATCCTGCTTTTGAGGACAACAGCGGTCAGTCATCCTGTCCACCCCGTAGTTTCTGACAAACTAACTTAACATGATTACTAACTTACAGTAAAACTGTGTTGACTGGTCATTGGCCTGGTTTCACAGACAGGGCTTAGATTAATCCAGGATAAGGCCTTTATTCAATTAGGACGTTTAAGTGTAGCTTTATAAACGTGTTTTAGAATATAACATGACTGATGTGCTTCTTTAGACAAAACAATGGCACTGCCATATTTAAAGATGTGTTAAAACGGCTCAAACATGCATTTCAGTCTGGGAAACATCCAGGGCACTTCGGGCAGCCTTCATCTTATTCTCATTTCTTACTAAAATTCACCATGGTTGCCCATACATGTCTTTGTCCTACCACATTTATGGCATGTAATAATGATATTGTACTGTACTCATGTATGTCAACATCTTGTGTTGCAGAGCCAGGTCCCAAATCTGCTAGTGGTGATGCTTCACTCAGCATTGAAGAGACCAAGTATGCTATCTATCTATCTATCTATCTATCTATCTATCTATCTATCTATCTATCTATCTATCTATCTATCTATCTTGTCATTTTTAATTATGGGAGGGGAAGGTATAATTAATTTTAAATACTTTACTAAATGCTATTACTCTTTGTTTTGCAGTAAACTGAGGGCCAAACTAGGTTTAAAACCCCTTGATCTCAATGAAAACAAGAAAGGTAAGAATTTGATGGTCATGTTACATCAAAGTGCTGTTTTATACACCACTGTTTAAATTTTGGGGACAGTAAGATTTTATTTAAAAAAATTCTTATTTAGCAATTCATTAAAGGGGTCATGAACTGCATTTTTTTCCAATGTTTCCTGAGGTGTACTTATAATCTTAGTATGATTTACATAAATTGTTTTAATTGTCTTAAAAAAAACCTGATTTAAATGTTAATGAATGGGCGTGTCATATTTGAGACTCCAGTATAAACGCCCACTGCTATGATTAGCTAACATCTTTGCATATGAAATAAGTATTAAATGTGGAAATCTCTTGAAGTTTTTACTATTACAGCTGTTGAAATTAACTAATTGGGCGTTGATTATAGCATTACATTTAGATCTACTCTCGTCGCATGAAAGATTGCAGCCATGAGATTTGTAGCCGTTGATCTCGTCAATGCGACCTGATTTCTGCTCTCCCACAAAGGCTTTCTTCATAACAAACAGTTGAAACGCATAATGTAAATAAGAGATACATTGTGCAGTGCAGACAGCGCCAGAAATTCCTCTGGCGAATGTTTCCTGAGCAGCAAATCAGCATATCAGAATGATTTCTGAAGGATCATTTGACATTGAAGACTGGAGTAAAGATGCTGAAAACTCTGCTTTAACTTTAATTAAAGTTTTAAATAATATTTTAAGTTGTAGCAATATCTTTCATCAGATAAATGCAGCCTTGGGCACGAGAATTTCAAAAACAAATTTTTTTGACCCAAACTATAGAATGTTAGTGTATGTGTTCGCTTTATTGTACGCATTGTTTTAAATGCAATCTTATTTGAATTGTTTCTTTCTAAATCTATGATTGTTTGGCGGTTCCTCAGAGACTGGAACCAAGGAGGAGCCCCTCGTGGCTGAGACCATTAATCCTGTCCACATCAAACAGCAGGCTGAGATTAGAGAGAAACTGGCTGCTCTCAAAGAGAAGCGTCTGCTCAATAAGAAACTGGGGTAGGATATTGTTGCCACCTTCAATATTGTTATTCAAACTAAATCAAATGCTAAATTGTACTAATATCTGTCTGTTTGTTTTGTTTTCAGAAAGGTGAAGGCGCTTGGGGATGAGGAACCATGGCTGGACGACACAGCAGCCTGGGTAGAGAGGAGTCGCAAACTAGCCAAGGAGAAGGAGTTGGCAGAGAAGAGGGTGAGAATAGACACATGTGGAGACAACCAGATGGCTAGCTTTGTCTTGCTTTTCCTTTATCTGTGTTTTTATTTTGTCCTCTGTGTAATTCCTCTCTTAACAGGCCAAACTCCTAGAGGAGATGGATGAAGAGTTCGGTGTGAGCAATCTGGTCGAGCAGGAGTTTGCACAGGATAAGAGGGTGTGTGAGCCAAGTGCCCCAAGACAACATTTTTTAGACTTGCTGGTTATTCAAGTCATATTATGAATTCCAGAAACTTCAATGAGTTGCTTGTTTTATTTTTTAACTCACAGATAGTAGTTTCTAGACCAATAAAATTTCGAATTTTATTAATGTACATGACTTTTCCATGTTTTGAAATCTGCAAATACAAGTTTTCTAAGGTAGTGGGTGTCTTAAATAAATGTGATGATTGTTGAAGGGGTGAATTAAAATAAGAAATATCTTGATGTTTAACTGTTTTAGTTTAGTTTAATATTTATTTATTCTTATTTTAAATAAGTTTAAGTCATCTGGGACCTTAATCAGCAGTGACAGGAACTAGCTTTGATTATGTAACTGTTGTTGATGAAAAGATTAAGTTATTTGTGTGTGTGTGTGTATATATATATATATATGTATATTAGTTGTTTTAATTCAGTTTTACTAAACAGGACTCGTACGGCTCGCGCCATCTCAAAGGGCTCAAGGTTCAACACAAGATGGACTCTTTCAGAGAGGGAGAAACGGTTGTCTTAACTCTACAAGACAAAGGTAAGCCAACATCATGATGATGTGAAAGTGGGTAAATGTTCTGTTGCTGTAGATAAATAAGCATCTGCTAAATCACTGACAGCATCTACATGCACACTCACGGGTTCTCTGTGTGGGTGATTTTCACAGGTGTTCTGGAGGAGGAGGAGGACGTGCTGGTGAATGTGGGTTTGGTGGACAAAGAGAAAGCAGAGAAAAATGTGGAGCTGAAGAAAAAGAAGCCAGAATATAAACCTTATGAAGAAGAGGAGAGTGTGGATGACATGCTCGTTGTAAGATCGCCTGTTAACTTCCATTTCAAATTTGCTAGATGCATTAAAATGTATGTTTAGGGTGCTTTCTCACTAGCACTTTTTTGTGAGTCAATTGTTTGGATGATGTGAACCGTACCAGAGGTCGCATAAAAAGTGTGGTCGAATACACTTCATGTGAACTCCAGTACGGTACCCTTCTGAAACTATTGCAAGCGTACTAAAACAATTTTTGCGGTACGTTTGTGACAGATAGACACAAGTGCCATTATCTGCTGATGCTTTGGAAATAAAAACAAAGGTTAAAAAATTAAATCGAGCAATCAAACCAAGTGTGAAAGCAGTCTTAAAAAATCTCACCTGGTAACACATTAGCACTTGACGTCACACTGCCTGAAATTTGGCATCACAACATTATAATGTAAAGTTGAGACAATGAGCAAAAAATCTCCACTATTAAAATCACATAGCACTGTGTGCTTCTGTCTTGTCTTAAACTTAACATTCTTAAATCTTCTTTTAATTCTTTCCAGTTCAAGCCAAAGTCTGTGCTGTCCAAGTACGATGAGGAGATCGAGGGAGAGAAGAAGAAGAGTTTCAGGCTGAGCTCTGGAGGTTTTGTCGGGGGTGAGAGAGAGCGAGAGCTGCAGGCCATCAGAGAAAACCTGCACAATCAGGCCCAGTCTCTGGACATGCCCTCTCTCAGCATCGCCTCGGAATACTACACGCCACAGGAAATGGTGAGAGATGCGTTTGTTTAAGTGCACTCGGTTTTGAGTTTGATGTCATTCTTGACTGATTGTTTTGCCGTGTGTCACGTCAGGT